TCAGTGCAATAACCAATCTTTCTCGTTTGAAAAAGACAGAGGAATAAGTGCGAATGCGCTATTTAAAGTTCGCTCAAGAATTGAAATATTTTCCGCAGTTTTTGATGTCTGCAAACTCAGAATTCAAAGCGCTCTTAAGTAAAATATATGAAAAGATTTTAGCAATTTAATTTCCGTGTTATCCCAACATTCGACGATGTTAAGATTTCCCCCATATTCTATAATCAAATGTAAGAAAGTAATGGAATAAAGCCATTAATTTAACCGTGGTTTAAAAAATAATCCCGCTTTGTTAGCGATCCCTTGGATTAAACTATCGATAATGTTGAAGAAGGTTGTATAGAATAGTCTAATCTTCCTGTTTAAAGGATTACGAATTTCAAAAGTGTTGGGTAGAAAGAACTATCAAGAGCACGCACGAATTACACCTAATGTTATTATATAGCTTGAAAATGAAAAAATCTTCAATCATCCGAGTTGGTTAAATAACTATAGTAACTCTTTATTTTTCCTTATTATTTTAAGTTCATTTAGATAAATTTTCTAGCTTAACTAAGAAGAGAGGCTTTTATTTAGAACTTGAAGTACCGAAAAAATGGAAATGAATAAGGAGATTAACGTATCACTATTTTTGAATGGGAAGAACTTTCATTGACAGATATAGGAAAAATTTCGCCATTGAGTCGAGCAATAAAGAAAAGGAAGTGCCTCATGTGGTTTTGTTTAACATACTATTAAATGAATAGTTCGTTCTGTTAATGGGACGCATTCTGGTTTATCGGTCATGGCATTAACATCAAGCCAAACAGTTTCCAGTTTCCAGTGTTCGTTTACTGTTTATTTTGATTCAACAAACATCACCCATATTCCAGCATTATTCGTCCCAACATGGATTTCTCTAGGTATCATTAACGCCGTCACCTTTCCACCGACTGTCCTCATCAATTTACTGGTGATCTGGACCGTGCTGGAAAATGAACAGCTAAGAAGTAACAGCTACTACCTCTTGGTCGCCATCCTTTCGCTCAGCGATTTTCTAGTAGGACTCGTTGTACAACCTCTTTCTGTTGCTTTGATAGTCAGTGTTATTGTCCAGTTTTCGTTAGCATGTGAACTGGTCATGACCTATGCGATACTTACGTTACTTTGCTATGGATGGTCGACTGTTACCATGGTGATTGTCAGCCTGGAAAGATACCTTTACATAGAGCATCCCCTATACTATCAAGTTTCAGTTACCACCAAGAAACTGATGATAGTAACGGCAGTTAGCTGGCTAGTGGTAGGGACAGGAGGCTTGGCAAGTAGATTCTTGATGAGCGACTCCTTCCAGTCGAGGCAACTTCCTCTGACTCTAATTATTTGCCCCAGCTTCTTCATCATCTTATTTTGCGTCACTAAAATACACCTGACGGCCCGTCGACAGATGAGAGCCATCGTCGCCCAGCAGCAATCTGTAGCACAGCAAAGTAAGATCAAGGAATACAAACGCACTTTCACTCTAGGTTTGATAGTGCTAGCATCCGTGGTGTGTTTGTGTCCAATATTGGTTTTAAAGATCGTAGGAGTTGTGAATGGCAATTGGAGTGATGACTTCAAATATCTATCGCAAGGTATTTATATCAGTGGCTTGAATCTGCAGTCACTCATCAACTCCATCATTTATTCGCTTCGTCTTTCCGACATCCGTTCGGGTGTGGCTAAAAAACTCTGCTGCAATCGCCAGTGAACTTTTAGAAGACGACTTTTATTGCTACCTCATGTTACCATGGACACCTGGTGACGTGTTTCTTGATTGCCATGGCAATAGGCCTTTTGCAACAAACAGTCCCGTGCTGATATTTCACTTTGATAACGAATCAATTCAGCTCAAGGTCTCTTGGGGAAGGCTCTGCCTGTGTGTACAAACGAACAATAAGCTACTTTGTTTCTTAAAACAAAAAGTATCTTGTAAAGAAAAATTTTTTTTGAAAAGGCTTTGGATATTAGTAATCCAGCAAAAAA